CCCCCCCCCCTCAATTAGGATGCCAACCACGGCGTCAAAAGTGCAATATATTGGACTGCGGCGAGCCACGTGCTCGACACGGCGATGCGCTCTGGCGAGCAAAAATTTCCTTGCTGAATTAGAGGCGGTCACAACGGCCGATGTGCCTCCGTCTGTACCACCTCCATCGTTCGACTCGCCAAGAACATTGCACCGTTTGACTTGCCAAGAACATTGCACCATGATGGCCCCACCTGCTGGCCCCTCGCGTAAAAAGGACCAGACTGCGGAGCTTTTCCGCGAATACGCTCATTGCCCTGTCGCCTGGCTCGAGGCACAAGCGCGGCTGACCCCTCGGCCTGCGTTCGTCACTCAGTATGGCCTCGACGCCTGGAAGAACATGGTGAGTCCGATCCCCTTCCATGCGCTGTGGCCTTCGCTGATGCTGGTCTTTACTGCAGGTCAAATGGCGCAAATGGTACCATGCTGCAGCGCCGACCCCTCCCGGCACCAAGTGCGACGGATGTTTGCGCCTTCGTCTGCCCTGCTGGCGGCCTACTCTCGACACCATCAACGAGTACGCCGGCTTCAAGTGTGTCGAGTGTTGCAAAGGCGGCTGCTCCTGCAACACAGAGGATTTTTGTGTCACTCCTTTGAACCCCGTTCCTGCCGGTGACGTGCCCCTCGTGATCAAGTGAGTTAGGCCTCTGCCTTCGTGGCGTGCTGCGCTGACTGCCTTTGTCAGGAACCAAGATCAGTGCGACGAGTGGAAAGGCGTTGCTGCCCGCCGCCGGCGCGAGGCCAACGCGCGCGTTGCTGCGGTCGCCGCTGCTCTCTTGCCGAATCCTTTGGACGTGCGCCCCTCGGACATTAAGGATCCGCCACAACCTGCTGGTTCGCCAGCGCTGTCTTCCCCTCCCCGCTCTGTACGTGCGGCCGATCCGTTCTCGCCTTCTCGTCCGCCGACGGACTCGCCGACGTCGCCGTTCAGCTCGATGGGGGCGTCTCGTTGCGCACCGCAGTCGTCGTCCCTTTTGTCGCCCAGTTTGAACAAGCGCGCCCGTTTGCAGCATTTCTCACCGGAGCGCCGAGCGACCTCCCCTTTCTTTGGCGACGACGCCTCGACCCTTCTTGTGGCAATTGGCATAGGACTCGCCCATCGTCAAGATGTGCAGCCTTTGTTTGCTGCCTACCAGGAGAAAGCGAAGTTGTCTGGCGGCGCCGAGGAGCTGCTAGATCGCCAGGCGGACGACAGCAAGGCGGTACTGCGCGCAATCGCATTGTTTCCCGAAGGCAGCGCTGAGCACTCCTGCCTTCGCCGCATCGTGCTTGCTCCTGTCCCAGAATTGGAGTCCGTCGGTCGTTCCCCTTCTGTCGTGAGTGTCGTCGGCGGTATCCCCCGTTCCTTGCTTACCGGTCTTTCCCTTGTCGCAGCCTCTGAAGAAGGAGGTAATTCCGAGCTCGGATGATGAGGAGGCCGATGACGGCACGTCTCAGTTGCGCGGCCTCACGCTGTCGCCTGTGCCTAGTGGATCGGCAGCGCCTGCTGGACCCCCTCCTGCTCCTGCTGCCCGCGGAGGCTCCCCACCTCGTGGCCGACGCCGTCCCCTTTGCCCCCCTCAAGGGCGCAACACCCGCGGGCGCGACGCGTACCTGGACAAGTTGGGAGTATCTCAGGAGACCGCCCCGCCCGACGCGCGTCGCTGAAGTCATGGTTTTGGCCTCCGAGGGTATTGCGCGTGAAACTCCCGTGTGAGCTGTTGAGAGTGCTGTAGATGTTCCCGCGGTTCCCAGCTGGACGTTCCATCTTGCCAGTGCACCAAGTGTTCCAGGCCCTCGCCGGCCCTTCTAGAGTCCCCGACACGCTCGACCTCGTATTCTACGATTTCATCCCGGTTGTCTCGAGCCGCCAGTAGCCCCTCGTCGGGGTACAGTTGGCGCGTTTGCCGCGGATCGACCTTGCCGTTGTCGGGTTCGAGCATCGCGACGCCAAACACTGGGTGGCATCGCCAGGAGGCTGGCAGTTGCAGGCGGTATGCTTTCCTGCCAATTTGTTCGAGAATCTCAAAGGGACCGGCTAGTTTTGGCCCCAACTTGTGGCTCGGCAGCCTCATCGCTAAGTTTGCGGTACGCAGGTAGACTTGATCGCCCACCGAGTAGCTCTTGGCGGCACGGCGTTTGTCGTACTGTAGGGCCGCCAAGGCCGTGGCGGCGTCGATGGCCTTTTGACAGTGTGCGACTCTGGCCTGCTGATCGCGCAGGAACGCCTCCGCTGTTGGGTTATGTGCGCTGACCCGTTCGACCGTCGGAATGGCCTTTGGGTGTTACCCCATGACGGCAAAGAAGGGAGACATCTTTGTGGTGGCGCTGGTGGCGTTGTTGAGCGCAAACTGTGCCATAGGCAGGTGCCTCGACCACTCATGCTGCTCCTTCTCTACGTAGATCCGTAGATACTGCTCGAGGGACTGGTTGAGCCTTTCGGTCTGCCCGTCTGTTTGGGGGTGGTAGGCGGTGCTCAGGGCAATCGACCCATTGAGGAGCTGGACGAATGTCCTCCACATGGAAGAGACGAATTGGCACCCTCGGTCTGACACGATGGTGTCGGGCGCTCCAAATTGGCTAAACACCCTCTCGAGGAACAGTTGAGCAGTGTCTAGGGCGTTGGTGGTCTTCCAACACGGGATGAAGACCCCGTACTTGGTGAGGCGATCGACCACTACCATGATGGAGTCATAGTTAGCCACGCCGCTTGCGGGAAGACCCTTGATGAAGTCGATCGTAACTGACCCCCACGGTCGTTTGGGCGTTGGGAGGCTCTCGAGCAAGCCGTAGGGAGCGTGTCGAGGCGCTTTTGCGCGCTTGCACATGACGCACGTCCGGACATAGCGCTCCACGTACGACGCCATGCCTGGCCAGTAGAATAATCGATGGATGAGTTCGAGGGTTCGTTGTGGACCCCCGTGCCCTGCAGCGGGAGCGTCGTGGCACAAGCGCGTCACTTGCTCCCGCCGAGCGCAGCGGTCGTCCACTCGAGGCACGTACACCAGATCATTGTGCATCCAGAGTCCGTCTTTCTTTTCGAGCCCCTTCTTGTCCTTCGCCGGGGGCTCCCACCCATTGTACAGCTTCCGCAGTTCCTGCTTGAACTCGTCGTAACCTAGCGCCCGTGCCGCGAGGTGCACAAAGACTTCAGTCCCCAGCAACACCCTCTCGTTCAAGGGGTTGCGAGTGTTGGGGCCTTCGTGCATGTCCGCTCGTCGGGTGAGACCATCGACTCTGCACTGTGAACCTGGCTTGTAGTAGATCTTGAACTCGTAGTCCGCAAGGAGCAGGGCCCACCGAGCCTGTCGAACGTTCAACGACCTCTTCGATTGGAAGTATTCGAGACCCCTGTGGTCCATATGAATGGCGATCTTGTGGGCTGCGTTCTGACAGTATTGCTTCCAGTCCCGGAGGGCATCTACGATGGCGAGGAGCTCCTTGTTGTGGATCTTGTAATTCCGCTCCGCAGGATTCAGCTTACGCAAACGGAAAGCCACGGGGTGCCAGAGTCGCGCCGAGGTGTCGGGAGAGGCCTTCGGCTGTGCCAGTTTGGCCGCGATAGCTTGATCGCTAGCGTCGGTCCACAATCGAATGGGCTGCGTTGGGTCGAAGTGCTGGAGAACGGGCCCCTCGGTGAACGCCCTCTTGAGGGTCTCGAACGCTGCCTTCTGGTTGTCGCCCCATTTGACCGGCCCCTTTGGTTTTCCCTTGAGCAGGTCGGTGAGGGGCGCGACGATCTTTGAGTAGCCCAAGATGAACCTTTGGTAGTAGTTGGCGAAACCTAAAAAGACCTGCACGTCATGCACCGTCCTCAATGAGGGCCACGACAGAATCACCTCGATCTTCTTGGGATCCATGCGAACACTGTTCGGCGAGCACAGGTAGCCGAGGTATTTGACCTCGCTGGCATCGAACTTGCACTTGCTCGCCTTGCAGCAGAGCTGGTTCTTGTGCAGACGCGAGAGGACCTCCTTGACTGCTCAATCGTGATCCTCCTGACTTCCTCTGGTGAAAATGAGGATGTCGTCGAGGTAGACGACCACGCAGATGTCCAACAAGTCGTGGAAGATAGAGTTCATCAGCGCTTGAAACGTCGCCGGTGCGTTACACAGTCCAAACGGCATAACGAGGTACTCGAAGAGGCCAAAACGCGTTTTGAACGCGGTCTTCCACTCGTGCCCCTTCGCAATGCGGAGAAGGTTGTAGGCACCGAGGAGGTCGAGAGCCGTCAGGTGCGTAGCGCCCTGAAGCCTATCGAGCTGTTCGCCGATCAAGGGAATCGGGTACCGATTCTTGACTGTGATCGCGTTCAGCCCGCGGTAGTCTACACACAGTCGGTTGGTCCCATCCTTCTTTTTCACGAAGATCACAGGCGAGGCCGCGTGACTTTCGACTCGGCGAATGAACTTGCGCTCGAGCACGTCGTCGAGATACTCCTTCAGCTCCGCCAGTTGGGCCGCTGAGCAAGGGTACAAGGGCCGGTCCGGAGGTGTTGCGCCAGGCAAGAGGTCTATCTTGTGATCGAAGGACCGGTGAGGAGATAGACGAGCCGCACCCCCGGGGTCAAACACGTCGAGGAACTCGTGGTACTTGGCAGGGACCAACGTTTTGGCGTCTGCCATCGTTGCCGCCGCGGTGCGCAGTTCCGTGTGAAGCCCTCGAGGAACCGTTGAGGGGTCTTCCAATGCTACCCCGGTGGTTCGGAAGAGAAGACGATCGTGTTCCCAGTCCCACGAGGGTCTCATCGCGCGACACCAGTCTAACCCTAGTAGTACATCTGGGCTCGTGGGGGCCACAAAGCATTCCCACGCAGGCCCGAATGAAGTGCCGCTCACGCTGAAAGTGACACGGACCTTACCTGTCCCCGGGACGGTATGGTTGTCGGCCATCCGAAGGACGAATGGCTCGGTCGTGGGACTCAGTCCCAATTTAGAAACTAACAATGGAGAAATGACTGTAGCTTCGCATCCTGTGTCTACCAGAGCACAAGCGTCGAGAGTCCCGTTGACCTGCAACTGGAACTCGAATGCGTTCTTTGTGGGGTGAAGGGGGACGATCACCTGCCCGAGGTGGTCGACGTAGCCGTTCGGCACACCCAACTTCTCGAGGGCTGCGGAGGCTACTCCCACGAAGATCTCCTTGGCTTCTGCCGGTCCAGGGGGGAGAAGACCCTGGTCGGCTACTTGTTTACTGCCTCGACGCCGTCGAGGGGTTCTAACCCATCCATCCTGTCTTCCTCGTCCGGTTCGTCGTCGAGATGGCCCTCGTCGTCCTCCATCATCCTCTGCATTATTCGCACAAGAATCTGCTTTT